ATCCTGGTCAGCCAGGCAGCAGGGAACAGGGAGGTTGCTCCCTGTCCCCAGGAGCTGCCTGCTGCTGGGGCGGGCTCTGCCACTGGAATCCGGGTGGGGACAATGTCCCCCTGCCCTGGCAGCAGGGAGCACCTAGTCCCCACTCTGCAATCCGGGGGTCAGGGCTGGGAGATCTTTATCGGGATAAGGATCTCCCAACCCCCACCCCACGATCATGGAGTGGGGGCTGGGAGCTCCCTGCTGCCAGGGCAGGGGGACATTGTCCCCACCCGGATTCCAGTGGTGGAGCCCGCCCCAGCAGCAGGCAGGTCCCAGGGACAGGGAGCAATCTTCCCAACCCCTGCTGCCCGACTAACCAGGAGCACATTTGCTCCCAGTCAGAGGTCTACACATGTGCTACTGTTCAGTTATTAATCTCAAGTAAATTTGCTACTTGCAAATCTGCTTTTGTGTCCCTGCACTTGTGGACACATTCCCCGGGGGAGTTTACTCTTGAGCAGCTTACTTGAGAATAAACTGCTCCTGGATCATTTGCATGTGTCACTGTGCCCCCTGATTCACTAACTCAAGCAAAAAAAAAGGCTTGTGTCTGGTCCCCAATTCCAACCTGGGTAAGAGTCTGCCTTCACTAAGCACGCTGCACTGTAGCAGGGTGTCTTAGAGTGGGATACAGGTATGGAGACCTTCTCAATTCATACATATATACACACTTGCCAGACTTTCCTATGAACATACACAAGCAGCTGCGTAAACCACACCACCGTTTCTGCTCTTTCCCTGGCCATAGATACACTTAAAGGCAGCCTCGTATTTCTTCCATACAAATACCCACCTACACAAGCTTTGCTACTCCTCACCCAGGCAGACACACTCAACACTACCCACACACATAGTAGCACACTCTCCTGCTCACACTAGCACCCTCCTCTGCTCAGACAGTCATGCAAAGGGCTTCCCATGCACACGCACACATGCACAGCCTCCCCCACAGCAGTCACTCCCCACAGACACAGGAGGGCTGTACTGACAGGGGAAGGGTAGTTCTGGTGTGTGCAGCCCTCTCTTACGGGAAGGAACTTGTTGCTGCTATCTTTGTATCTGGTGATACAAAGAAAAAGAGAGTATGAGCACCCTTTTGCCTGCATGACACCCATGAGGCTAGTGCAAAGATTATGGTTATTTTGCTTTAAAAATCAGTGGCGTTTTAAATGCAGCAGTGGGGAAGTGCTATTATCCTTATTGTGTGACAGACAGGGAACAACTACAGAAAGGATGTAGACAATTGGAAAGAGTCCAGCAGAGGGCAATGAAAATGGTTAGGGGCCTGGGGCACATGACTTCTGAGGAGAAGCTGAGGGAACTGGGCTTATTTAGTTTGGAGAAGAGAAGACTGAGGGGGGATTTAATTGTAGCCTTCAGCTACCTGAAGGGGGTTGCAAAGAGGATGGAGCTGGATTGTTCTCAGCAGTGACAAATAACAGAACAAGGAGCAATGGTCTCAAGTTGTAGCAAGGGAAGTTTAGGTTGTATATTAGGAAACACTTTCTCACTAGGAGGGTAATAAAATACTAGAACAGGGTACCAAGGGAAGTGGTGGAATCTCCATTCTTGGAGGTTTTTAAGACCTGGCTAGATAAAGTCTTGGCTGGGATGATCCAGTTGAGGATGGTCCTGCTTTGAACAGGGGGTTGGACTAGATGGCCTCCTGAGGCCCCTTCCAACCCTCATTTTCTATGATTCTATAATTAATATGCATAGAGGGCTTCATCAGGCTAGGGGTTTACCATGTCATAGATCAGTGATTCACACCCTTTTTAGTCTCAAAGGTTGCCTCTACACATGTACAGAGGCTGCTCCAATGTGCTGTAATACAGTGCATCAGAGCAAACTCAATTAATCGAGTCTGCTGGATCGTGGTAATTATCACGCTCCAGCAGATTTCAGCATCACATGTATTGGTATTCCCATGTTGAAAAATGGCAGCAGGGCAGCTTTAACTAAAGCTTGTTTGATGAACTTCAGTTAAAGCTCCCCCATCGCCATTTTTCAGTGCAGGGACGCTGATACATGTGACGCTCCAGGTGCTTTCATTAGAGCGGATCTCGGAGCTGCTCTAATTAAAGCCCTCCCCCTGCCACCTCCCAGAGCATGTGTATAAATACCCAAAGGTTCCCCCTTGTTAGACTCAAGGCACCCCTCATAAAATGCCAGATCTGCACTGTCACTCATTTCTTGACTACAGAAAAAAATCCTAGAGCAATTTGCAAACAACTTTGAAAGGCCACAGCAGAACAGAATGGTTCTGACACTCTGGATTCTTGTTTGAGATCTCTGGGTTTATTGTGTGAGCCATGTGTAGATATCTGCATACCTAAGAGTATTCATACTATCTGGCACCCTTAAAAGAATCCCATGGCAGTCTCGCTGGTCTAAGGACCCTTGCCTTGGGTGCTCCCAATAACTGATCCAGAGTAGATGAACCTTAGTCACCAAGAGGGGTCAACTATTCTAAATTGCCTTTCATTTACTATAGGGTCAAGAGAACCTCAAATCCCCATACCCTTTTACCTTGCAGTAACTAGTTAGTATGCACAGACTCTCTATTGTGTACCACTGGAAAATGGAGCTTGGTGTATAGCAGGATGTGGGGGGAAAGACGTACTGTTTTTTTGGGAAAAGGGAGAGGATGTTTTTCAGAGGGTAGCAACAGAGTTGAATGACCTCCAGTGAAGAGCATCCTTGGAACCCATACCCATAATAGAGGTGACATCCTGAGAGCTGGTTAGGTGGTGGTGCCTTAGGACTGAACCAAAGAGTGGGCAGCTGGGTAAACTGGAAGACATCTGGCTGGGCAGGCAGGGGCCCAAGCAGGCTTTTTCCCACTGGACAGTTCGCCAAGTCCTGCAGGTGTGGTGCTGTCAGACCGAGCTGTGTCACCGGCAAGATGCAAGGGGTTTCTGAATAAGCACCATCGTCTCTGCTCAGTCAACCCCAGCTCTCACTGCTACCTCTTTCTGTGGGCTGAATGGAAAAGTTTTCCATAGTGGTGGAGCCCTGAGGACATCAGACACTGGCCAAACTTGTCCTTGATAAGGAAATAATTCAGTTCTGTCAGCTCCTTCCCCTGAAGGAGCCCTTGCCGCTCCCTGCAGAAGCAAGATGTGGACAGAGGTCAGCATGGATTTTCAAGAGGCTGAGAAAAACCTCATTCCCCTTTCTTGGATTGAATTCATTGTTTTCCCCTGTGCTTTGTAGTCCTGGCTTGGAGGAGAAGCAGTAAAACACAGTGAGAGGCTGCTCCCTCAAGAGCCTTGGAAAAGGAGCTAAGTTGAGGCTGAGGGAAGCTCAGCACCAAGAGGCCCGTGGACATTCAGGAGAGCGGCCTGTGAGGCTCACCCCATCCCGCAGCACGCAGACAATAATGTCTCAAGCTTCCCACCACTGCGGGAGGCTGACACGGCTCCCTGCTGAGGGAGCAGAGTGGCTTGGCATGCAAAGCTCCCCCACCTGGAGCCTGTTTAGCAGCTGGGTCTGATGTGACAGCTCTGAACCAGCCATGCGGAGGAACAGTACAGTCCCGCACACACCTCCCAGCAAAACCAGGTACAAACTGTAGCATGAGGCTGCCAGCACTCCAGGCCTCTGTCTTGTCACCTTTCCCAGTTGAAGCTGCCCCCTGGTGGTGACTTTTTTGGACAACAGGGGCTGCAAAAAACAAACCAGCCTAAGACCACGCTGGCAGCTTGTCAACCAGACAGATCACACATAATATGCCTGTAATAGAGCTCAGAGTCGATACCTATTGGGCCAGAGATGCAGCACTGGAGACCACCGGCAATAGCACAACTGGGAGGCGGGGTGACTGGGGCAGCTGCCCTGGGGGCTCTACTTTTTTTTGTTGGGGGGGGGGGCAGGAGCACAAATAGCTGCCATGGCCACTGCGGCTAAGTGCACCACTGCAACCCACACCACAGCAGTTTGGCACTGCCCTTTGCATCACAGCTGCCCTGGGTGTGGCACTGACCTGCTATGTCTCTAGATCCTGGCAGGCAGACCTCCCTCTTGAGCCTGGTCATGCAACACAGTATAGCGTGAGCTTGCAGCCTCTCCACAGTGAAGATGAGGACAGCTGTCAGACTCTATAGGATGTACCTGGAAACCATGGTCACCTCTATTACACCAGGTACCAGCACCCTGAAAGGCTGAATTACACAGAAGTCCTTGCTCTAAGGGGTCTCAGCAATTGTGTAAGAGAGAGCAACTTGTTGCCATGAGCCACTGTAGAGGGGAAGAGGCACCTATGCCCCTGGCAGGGCCTGAAGACTGGTTCTGCGGTGATTAGGCCTTCACAACCCCTTCCTTCCCCAGGGGTCTCTGTGCTCTCATCAGAGGGAGCAGCACCTCCTGGCATCACAGAACGAGTGGGAGATGGAGAACTCCTTGTTAAGGGACAAATCAAAGCAGCCTCAGTGCTAATGGCAGGATTAGGTGACTGAAGGCAGCATCCCAGACAGGCGGGATGGTGCCCTCCACACAGTCCCTTGGGTGATCATTATATGCTGGTATTTATGAAGAGGCACAGCCATTCAAGCAGGCGTCACTCACCACCGCCCCTCATATCGACAAATCCCCTCCCACGAGAGCCTAGTTAATTTGCTTCCTTTCTATTGATCCCCACGGCAAGTCACCATCAGTAGCAACCCCTCCTTCTTCCTCCTCTTCCTCATTTTCCAGGGAGAAAAGGGAATAGCAGGCTCATTATAAGAGAGAGGTGTTTACAATGCCCAGAGATGAAAGGTGCCATATCGTTCCCTGGTCCCGTTCCCACCGGATGGGGACCCATGTTATTTATGAGACCGGCAGTGTGCTTGTGATTAGCAAATGCTCTCGGCTCCCTTTCCCTGCACTGGGGGTATTGATTAGCCTTTGTTCACTGCTTTATGAACCCATTCGTTAATGGGCTGGGAGCTTGTAAATGCTCATCGGATTTTCTTTTAAAGCAGCCTGAATGAACAGACGCCAGTGTGTTTACGAGGAAGAGAGTTAGAGACCTGCCGACACCTGCTAAGAAACTTCGATCAGCACTGGCTCTGCCAACAGCTCGGCCTGTTCTCCTCACGCTCGCTGTCTCACTCATCCCTGACTCCTTATTACTAAGGCATGTTTGCCTGGGAGCAGGAACAGAGACCCTGAAGAGGCTTGTGTGTTCCTGCAGCTTGTTCATCCACTCAGACCAGGAGGTCTCACTGGCAACATCACAGCTAGATGCTATGGAGATAATTATGGGGGCCTCACCGCCCTCTACACACTTACTTCTCCTCCTTTGCTTGGCAGTGCTTGGATGGATGACAGCCCTGTGTCCCTCTCTTTGATGATTCTGGGCCAAATTTTGAGCATCTAAACCGATTAGCTCCATGCCCCTGCCAGGCACTCAAACACATGGTAGAGAGGAGAACAAGACCTAAGAGAGTAGGAGGTGGACTGCTTCTGGCACAATTGTTCATGGAAAGCCAATTTCAAAGCAGCCTACATGGGTATTCACAGAAAAGCAGCTTTTAAACTTGCCTGGGTGAGTGCCAGAAATGGAGGCATTCATATGCTCACCCAGGCATGGAAGGGAAAAGCAAAATAATGCCCCATGAACTACCTGACCAAACAGAGTTAGCTGCCACAGATCAGATACTGCTTGACACTCATTTATGATCAGTTGAACAATATGCCTATCTGAAACAGTCTCCACACTGTTCTGAGTACTAACTACACTCAGGGACATGGCCGTCTGTTTGAACATAAATGTACCAAAGGAAAAAAAGAGTTCACATTGGCTGGATATATTGTACACTCAGTGTTGTTTGCTCAGCTCTATATTGCCTGTCTTTGATTTTTGTTAGGTCATCCATTCTCTTTGTATCTATTACCGCCAGTGCCCTGGCCTTTATTCCAAAACATTTTGGCTGATGCAATAAGGTAACCAATTATCTCAAATTTTCCAGGACAACCCTGATATTTGGGGCTATGCCCCACTGTCCTCAAAGAGTTTCTGAAACAAGGTACTTGACCTCAACCTAAAAAAGGAGTCACAGACTGACTGATCCACATTCTACCCAATGCATCTCTGGCAGTGTCCTATTGGATCTATGCCACCCATTGCTGTTTGGTGCTACATGAACACAACTATGCAGCTCCCTCCCACACCAAAAACAGTATAGCCTTGAACCTACAGCACTATGCCTGGGCTAATTTTCTCTGTCTCTCAGCAGAGATAATTTGCCTGCCATACTGTGTAAAGACAAAGCTAACTAACCATGTGAACACAGCTGCATTGCTTCTGGTTTAGAAAGTATCTGCATGTGCTAATTAGCACACTGAGATGGCTATACTGACAGGAACTGTAAGTGATGTGGACTAATTCTGGTTCCAGAGGTCTGTGGATAGGGCCTCTGAAAGGATTTTTGTCACCTTCAGCAGCCTCTGGTCCTGCCTTTGCCATGGCCCCTAGCAGTTTTGCACAGCCAGAGCGTCAAGCCACTGCCTGCTGTTTTTACCACCCCCTACAATTTGCCACCATAGGTGGCTGCCTGTGCTGGCTGTACTGTTACACCAGCCCTGTCTGTAGAGCATCTTGTCCTATATCCTGTATTTTGCTAACAGAAATGTCTGGAGTCCTCCTTTTAAGGACTACATACATGCACTGTTGCCTCTCTTTCCTGGCTTGATCTAAATGGCTGCTCCCCCCAGGTCAGTTGAGACTCCTGGTCATGCAGATTGATGTTCCAAATCCTGCTTACTACCAGTTTTCTAAGGTGAAGGCTGCAAATTAAATACCTCCACCCCAAAATCAGGCAATTTTTTAATTTAATGCTATGGGGGCCAACCTTTTTGGCAGGTGTGCCACATAACACTGAAAAATGCAAGGTTCTCCACCTTGGGAAGAAAACCCTGCAGCATCCTTATAGGCTCGGTAGTGCTACACTGGCTAGCACCATGGAAGAAAGAGACTTGGGGGTTATCATTGACCACAAGACGAACATGAGCCTGCAATGCGATGCTGCGGCTAGTAGAGTGACCAAAACGCTGGCTTG